GTTTATAGTCACACCTCTATACAATCACCAAAATAGGGCGCGACGGAGTTGGTGATTATATAGAGGTCTGACTGTATTTGAATCGTAAAGATGAGTGCAAAATTGCTGGTATCAATCACCACCACATTTGTAATTATTAATTTGAATATTAAGATTTGCTGCCCATGTATTTTTCCACAATGATCCTTTTCACTTTGGAATGGAGTTATAGACTAAACTATTAATTTTGTTTTGCCATTCATGAAGCAACTTGTCAATTTTAGGTATGCTAACCAAAATTTTAATTAATTGAATACGTTGCAATTGCAAATTATTCAATTGCTCTGAATCTGGCAACACTATTCTATGTAGAATTTGGCCACTAACCAAATCATCATTCAGTAGTTCACCAAAAACTCGACGTCCCAATTCTGACAGAAATGTCAAATTAGTGGATTGTTGTTGACTTGTAGGTAAATTTGTATTTACAATTGCTTGATTTTTTGTCTTATGATAGCTTCTATAAATTATAAATATTTTTATTTTACTATCATTAGCATGCATAATCGAACAAATGTTAAGTTACATACCTTCTTCGTAATTCACTTGATGTATATCTAAAAATTTCTGCCTGTTCATAATTAATACTTTTGAGCTCTCGTGACATCTGTATAGTGATTCGAAACTTATTTAATGCATTTCCGTATGATTGAATAGTGTGTGTAAAAGAATCTTCTCCGAGCTGACAAATTGTTCCAAACAGGTCTTCAAGCATATCTTGTGACACACGTCTTGGTTGAATTATTATAGTTGGATATATAGATTTAAGGTAATATAATAATTCTATAAAACCATTTATTGATAAAATTAGATTGAATTGACATTGTAGCGATATCCACTCCATTGCAGATGTTTTTTCTGTATTTCCACTGATAAACCAATCTCTAATTTTTTTCAAATGGCCAAGTCGTGGATCATTCAGAGTTTGAAAAGCTATATGACTATGCATAATTTCATGATATTTACGTGCATTCTTAATAAATAACTGTAAAACAATACGTATTAAATTATTTGTTAAAAATGCTTTTAATATTTTGTATAATATTGTTATTTACCTGTGTACCAACAGATATATCTTTGAGAGGATCGATCAGAGTTATAGCTTTTTCTACATCTGATGAGAAAGTTTGCTTAGCCAAGTCTACACGCATCTTGCTTCAGGAAGTTAGCCAAATATGGCAATTAGTAAGGCATGTTGCTATTGCAGTTTGATGTTGAACTGTATATTCATGAACACCACAAATATGCTTCCAGCTAATCTCATATCCTTTATATATTATTTCTCGTATATTTGAAGCATTACTAGTATGACTTTTGTACAGATTATTACGTAACTTTTTGAAAACGTGAGTTGGATCACTAATAAAAAACCATGGATCTCCTGTAATAGGATTTACGGTTTTATGCTAAGCTAAGCTTTTGTATTCATTATATGCTAGACAGATATTTTCCATACCAAGTTTTCTTATTTTATTTTCATCATTTGTAACGTTAATGATAACATCGATTTCAAGGTTATCCCAGTCAATCGCATTTACTCTACCCTCATATCAGCCACCATCTTCATTCCGAAAATACTCACAGAGATCATTAATTTGTAAGCATCTGCCAAATAGCATTGGAGACCGAATAGCTGAATGAATGACTGTATGTATTTCTTTATTATGTAGGCCTTGGATTGTAAATTTTGTACGCTCTTCATTCATATTAACAATTTTTGCTAAATGAAAACTGCTTGTTGCATCTTAAAACAAGCAGAATTTGGCTTCAACGATGTCTTCTATTTTCCATGATGATGCAAGCCAATCAAAACTTTTAATATGAATCTGGTTGTCTCCCGCACCATCGCATATTTCTCCAATTGTATGTATTCCCACATATTCTAACTTAGCAGCGAGTTCAAAAACAACGTTATTGAGTATTTGAGCTGACATTGTTGAAATCCCATAGTAAGCAATCGGAAAATTAAATGAGTGACTTGCAGAATGCTACACAAATTGATGCACTTGCTGTGCTAAACTAGATTGCATTGAATGATTATCACTTTCTCTATTATTTTTTTGACTAATATCTTGATTAAACTTTTCGGCCCACTCTTGTAGTTCATTTTCTATATTTTCAAAATCCAAATATTCTATATAACAGTTTCTACATTGGCTCTAAAGAAGACCTTATACCCAAAAGCAATTAAAAGTAAATAAAATTTATATTATAGGTATTTCGATTATTTAAATTAATCTTACCTTTTTGAATTTTGAATGAATCATGTGAAAAGAACCCTATTCTTCCGAATCTCTATATATTGTCTGCATCCATATTTACTAGCATTTGTTGTGCAATTTTGTTTTGCCATCCTGTTTTTTGTTCACTCTCATTTATGTAACTTTTTAGAGTTGAGATAGCAGGCAGACGTATAACTTCTTGAAGTGTATTGTAGGCACTCTTACCTTCACAGCAATAGCCCTTCTAATAAACCTAAAAAGCCAATAGTTAGAAGGTATATATATAAATATATATTGTCAAATCGTTGCATACATTGGATAATATCTAACTCCATATTTTTTTTCACTTTGCACTCTAATTAATTCACGAAATACAGGATGCATTGTTGCTAATTCCGATTCTTTTTTTTTTTGTTGAACTTCTTGGGACACTTTATTTATGACTCTTTCGAGTTCTTCAGAAATAGGTTCTTCTTCAATTTTTATTTTTGTTTTTAATAATTTAATGAAACGTTTTTGTTTGTAAATAATCTATGAATTTATAATCATTAGAAATATTTTATATATTGTAATGTAACAAGTTAGACCTTTGGTTAACTAGCTACAATACTTGACTAGTGTACGGGTAGTTAAGAAAT